CTTTTTAAACAGAACCACAATTGCACAAAAAATAATACCAAGTATTATGGCTTGTATCTAGATGTTCCCTAAAAGCCTCATGCAGCTGCAGGAGGGGCTTTTTCAGAGGTAGCTAAATCTAGAGTGTGTGATTGATTCATGGTGCAATGCTAGACTCAAGGGCAGTAGGATAAAGGGTGTGAGTGCCACCCAGCCTATGTAGTCTGGATAAGATAAAAGGGGCAGAAAGACACTGTTAAATTCCCTTAATGCTTTTATTGTCTTCTGCATGCAATGAACTGTTCTCTGAGATGTTCTTCGGCCATGTGCCACTCTGCCTTTGAGTCAGCCAATTATGGACTGAAACCTCTACAAACTGAGCTAAATAAACCCTTTCCCCTTTAACTCTGGATGTTGGGTATTTTGTCTCAGCGCGGAGAGAAAAGTAATTCAGACATCAAGAATCAACGAATGGAATCATATCAAATTAAAGAGCTTCTGCTTAGCAAAGGAAACAACCAACAGAATGAAGAGACAATCTACAGAATGAGAAATTGTACAAATTTTACAATTTGAAATAGTTAGATCTTGGAAACAATGTATGTCTATCAACAGATGAATGGATAAGGAAAATATGGTATTTATACACAATAGAGTACAACTCTGCTCTGAAGATAAACTTGCAGCATTCATAGGTAAATGGATGTAACTTGAAAGCATAATGTTAAGTGAAATAACTCAAATACATAAGATTAAATATTGGATGGTTTCTCTTGTATGAGAAACTATTTATATATATATATTTTGCATATATATATGTAAATAAAGAGCAATATTGATGATAGTTAAGTAGGAAGCAGCAAGAAGTTCAAACAATTCTTCAAATTATATACTCTGTTCTTTCAAAAATATTTTAAGATGCAGTAAAAAGTTGGTTTGCAAGAATAGTTTGTAATAGTGTTAATCCAAAGCACTTGTATATCAAAGAGAGAGAGAGGGAGAGAGGAACCAGTTGCGATCTTGTGATGTTCAGAGAGATGTACAATTCACATTGCAAGACACTGCTCTTTATTGAGTTAAAATTCCCTAGAAATGTTTGCTTGTGTTGTGGAACACTTGCAGACCACATTACTTGCAACCCAAGCTTTGACTGTATATGCTAATTTGTCTCATCTATACTACTAGTTTCTTTTAGTTCACTGCAGAGAAATTTTGTGTTATTATCTGTTTCTTCTTTGTAAAACAGAATCTTATTTATCTATGTCTTGTACTTTGAAGATAATGATACACAGTATACTAATTATTATTGTTCTCTTATTTTTAATGAAATTTTCTTTAATTTTTTCATAAAATAAAATTTTAAAACTAATTTTCCCATTTAGTTGTCAACAACACTTTAATGTAGACAATAAAATCTCTCACTTCATCTTTTAATTATCTACTTTCCATTTGAGTGCTTCTAGAGTTTGTATACCTCAAAAGACATTTATATACATATAAGCTAAATACATTTACCTTTATTTTCAATTTTGCTATTACTGTCACTGTTTCACTCAAGGTCCTTCTACCTAAGCCATTTAACACATGTACAAGTATATTAATTTCTCAAACTAATCCTTATGCCAAAATGACATATTTTGGAGTGGGATACTCTGCCATACTTTATAAACTACTTAAGAAATTTTTATTTATGAGCTTTTACTGACAATTTTTACTTTCTCTTTAATTTGTTAGAGATACTGAAATTTCATGTTTCTTCTTGAATGTTACCACCCATTACTGAATAAGTTTTTGTAAATTTTGTGAAATAAATATTAATAAGGGGATAATTATACTATATAGTATTATATATGTGACTAACTTCCAGTTTTCTCAGTATCCAAATAAATTTCTTATATTTTAGAGTATGAAAAGCTAAAAGAAAATCTGAAGTCCCTGAAGTTCAACTGCAGGATTTCTAATTGTTTGAAAATTCTTTGCAGCTGAATGATTCCTAAGAGTGTTCTGTCAAGCAGAAAATGTAATATTTAATCCCTAAAGTGCAAAATTGAGTTTCACTGCTAAATAACTTAAATGACAATCCTGTATTTTAAGAAATACAGTGTGATAAATCTCCCAAAATATATGACATTGTGCACATACAATAAAATTAGAACTAAGTCTTTCACCTTTCATACACTTATTTTTTCACATATTTATTTATAAGACACATACAAAAATAAACTGTGCCACCGCTTTATGACTAGTGTAATGGTTCTATATGACTGAGATAAAATTGAGAGCTGAAAGGAGAATTTCCTTGAAGATACAGATAAATGTTTAATGAGTTTTAAGTAGGATTTTAACTCTAAATGCTTTTGAGACCAGGGAAGAAGAACCTGTGAAGAGTTAATAAGAAAATAGGAATGCAGATTTGATCCTCTGGCCTTATCTTTATAAATTTTTTTTGAGTTTCTTAAAGCTTTTAAGTTTCCTAATCTTTAAAACAATGGTTCTTACATTTATCTAGTATCAGCTGGGAAGCTTCAAAAAATACGGACACACATAACCACCCCAAAATTACAATATAATTGGTGTGAAGTGTGGCCTAAGCTTTATAATTTTTCATAAGACCTCTAGGTAATTATAATACACAGATAAGTACTGGGGTTCAGATAAACAATACCCTAGCCAGGCATTGTGGCACATGCCTGTAATCCCAGCACTTGGAAGACTGAGGCAGGATTGCTGTGAGTTCGATTGCTGTGGGGCTAGCCTGAGGTACAGAGTGAGACTTTGTCTCAAAACAAAAACAAAACCAGAAACCAATATCCCAAAGCATAGCATTTTGGCATGCTGAGTTCTTTCAACTAATGGACACTGGAAGGCCTCAGAACTAGCTTCAGAGCCAAGGTCTCTTTAATCTTGTACCCTGCTGTTTCTCACTCTTCATTCTCCCCAAAATGAGTCAGAGAAACCAGAATTCCTCTTCCCAAGGCAGGTGACAGAAATTAGAAACCCTTTCCCCCAAAGCAACCCATAAAGCCTAAATATATACAGCATGATCAAAAGCAACAGTGAATGTTCAAATTTTTTAAGAATTTGTAATAAAAGATACATTGCCATTAATCACCCTCAAAATACTCCCCTCACTTCACTCCAACACACTTATCCCTTCATTCTTGCCACTTTCTGAAGTTCTGGAAGTCCTCTTTCATGAAATCTTTAGATGCACTCTCATGGCTGTCTTGATGTCCTGAATCAACTCAGAATAGTTTACCTTTCATGCTCATTTTGACTTTGGGGGAGGACCAGAAGATGCATAGCTGCTGGATATGGTGAATAAAGTAGATGAACACATCATACTGTTTTTATGAGAGTGCATTTCCCTTGAATGGCATTGGCGGCAGCATTCACTGTATTTTTTAATTATACTTTGTAAACACATTAAATAAAACTTCCAGAACTACTTCAAGAAGTGGCACAGCAATGGAATAAATATGTTCGAAGCAAGGAGTATGTTCGAAGCAAGGAGTATTCTCGAAGCAAGGAGGAAGATTAATGGCATTGTGTCTTATATTATAATAATTTATTTTAAATTTAAACATTCACTGTATATTTTGATCATATCTCCTATTACTCTAACTTTTCCTCTCTTTTCTGTGCAAAAGCTGGGCATCTACCCTCTGTATTACAAGATCCTCCTTCCAGAAGGGGTCCCACCCTACAAGCAGGAGGAAGCAATGCAATGTAGAGAGGCCAAAAAGAAACCAAACAGACAAACCTTGCTAAGTTTCTCCCCTTGTCTATTATATTAGATGACACCCTTTTGTCCATACAACTGTGGATTGTTCATCAAATCTAAACATCAACTTAGAAAGTTTTCCCTAAGTCTCTGGGTCATCAGTCTGAAGTCTCTCCTGTTATATAAAACTTTGGTTAAATAAATTTCTTATGCTTTTCTCTTATAATCTGTCTGTTATAGAGATGTCAGCCATAACCCTTATACTAGGTAAAGAAAAATATATACCTTTCTACCCTTACACAAATTTGAGAACTATGTTTCTAAAATAATTTTCAGTTCCATGTCTGACTGAGAAAACTATTTATAATCTTCCCAAATCTAAAACAGAATCACTGCTAAAGATTTACAAACAAAACAAAAACAAAGGAAAATAGAAAATATATATCATTACAAAATAAGGAGTAATTTTTGAAATTATGACAAACTGGGTATTTTCCACACAATTCTAGCAACAATGAACGTCTCAATTGCCTAGGTATAAAAAGAGGTGTTTTAACATTCATTTGCCTTTGTATTTCAAGTGTGTATATAAATGTATAGCCAGGGGTAAGACAAAGAAATATTATAGATTTTTAGTATTCTCCTGTTGCTACTCACCAGGGATTATATACCTTTTAAGACTAGAAATCTCTATAACTTTAAAGAAGTAATTTTTAACCACCATTCAATTAAACTTAGTACAATGACTTTGCATAATACATACATGAAATAATTACTGAAGATGGTTCTTAATTTAAAGGATGTTAAACAGCTTGTAGACATCTGGTAACAAGCTGAAATGGGTCATTCAAAATTTATCCAACTAAATTATGGGGGAAAAATGTTTCTCTTCCCAGGTTGGCATGTCACAAGATAACTAAACCGACTTAGTAGGCTTGCCTGGGAATCCTTAGCTGTCAGTAGTGAATATGCAAAGGGCCAGCAAATTAAATCAACCTGCCAAACTGTCAATTTCAAGCCTCATGACTGCATGAAAATAGCATCACTGGAAGAAATCAAGCATTGCCTTCTTTTGGGTTTCCTGGCACCTATTCAAATACTCATGCAGTTGTGGCTAATTTTGCATGCAAATTTCAGTCAATAAGCTCAGAACAAGACCTCCCAAGATATTTCAAAGGATCTGACAGTATTTTTTCTGAATACCAAATCGACAGTAGTTGAAATTCAATCTCCATTTGCCAGTGCTTTACATATGCACAGTGTCCCCACCACAGAGCTAAGTTAATGAGAGCCTTACCTGCTTTCACTCATATCCTCCCAGCCGTCCTTGCTGAGGTTCTCAAACACATTGCTCATAACCTTGATGGAGTGATTGAGAACAGTGTGGTGACGACCCAGAGAGCACCTTTTCTTGGCAGCTTTCAATTTAACCTTGGTGGTGGTTGTCTTATAATCATATTTTCCAGATCTCACTTCTGTGGTGGCCATCTCAGATTTAGCTTTTTCTGCAGAATGCTCTAATTTCTCCCCTGGATTCATCAGCTCCTCATTTTCACTTCTCGATGTACTAACTTCTGCCACTTGTCTCCTGAGGGAAATGACTTCTCTCTCCAGCTCACTGACTTTTACTTCAAGTTTAGTTTTGTCTTTTTCTACATCTTTACTCCCCTTTAGTAGCTGTTCTAGCTCTTTTTTTCTGTTCTCTGCATCTTCTTGATGCTGTTTTAAATGGACTTTCAGGAAATCATTTTCTTTCACTAATTGTTTATTTCCTTCTTTTAATTTTTTTGATGTTTTCTCAAAAGATTTTAGCCGATTTTCCAATTCAATGACCTATGCAAAAGAGTTTAGTTTACCCTTTTAAAATCCAAACCCATAACTTACTGTATTTTTATTTTCATTTCTAACAAATAAAAGAACAATTATATTCAGTACGAGGACAAAATAAATCTATGCTACTTAATTTCTAAATAATTGTAAGGTGGTGTAGATGAATACATTAAAAATGCAGTAATACATCTGTTGAATAAAGGACAGATGGTAAAAGAAGTAAAAATTCTACACAAAGTGACACAGATTTAACTATGCTAATAAACTGCAGTTCTGTTATATCTTAAGTACTTTGGCTATATATATATCTATATATATATAGATATATATATATTTTTTTTTTTTAAACTCATTGTGAAAAAACTCTTCAGGGAAAAACAGCTTATATAGAAAGTGTTAAAATAGGTACATAGGGAAACTGTATTAGTAAATAATAGTTTTCTTCAACATTCAAAAATCATTACAATATGATGACTAAATATAAAATAAACTACTGTGGCTGTTATGTGGCCCTTGGTTTATGCAATAAAAATTTTTTTCCAAAACAATAAAGCCTGACAATATCACATATAAATTAAATTTTTCCATTTATTTCAATAAATACTGTTCATGTAGTAGGACACAGCAGTGGTAAAGTACACTTCTTGATCTTAAGGAATTTCAAAAACTGTTAAGAAAAGCAGATGTTTACATGTCTAAAGCTAATAAAGGAAATGCCCTAAATGTCCTAATTTTGAGCATCAAAAAATAGTAATTCTTAATCATGAGTACAAAAATTTTATGGAGAGGTTGATATAGATATAGATCTTGAAAAATAATAAGCACTACTATTTGTATGTATGCTTTACTATTTACAAAGTAGTTTCATGAACATAATCTCTCCTGATCATCTCAAAACCATGAGATAAGTAAAACTAACACTTACCTTTCCAGAATGGGAAATAGCGACCAAAAAAAAGAGATTCAGAAAACCTAAGTTATATACAGAGGTAAACTCCTACTTCGAACTGGAACTCAAAATCAGATATTGTACCCTATACTATTTCACAAGCCATCTGAGAAAAAAAGATACATATATATACATATATATGAAAAATGAACAAGAATTAAAGTCATATTGACTTTAAAAAGAAAATTCTATAGAACAGATACTTTTTTCTCCTATGTGTGTGGGAGGTTGGGAAAAACATGAAAGATTGCATGAGGTGCATGAAAGATTTGGTACCCAACTCTTTTACACCTCTGCCTATTTCTATGAATGAGATTCTGTTCTCTCTTCTCAACGTTAAGTTTATTGGAAATGTGGTAAAACGTGACAAAAAACAGTGTTGAAGGAAACAAACTCTGGCTGAATCTTTTTTATTTCTTCCAAATTATTCTACCTCCAACTTTTATTCTCAATTTAGTAAAATGCACTACAAACAAGGAATATTATCTCTTTATACTATTTATACTAGTATCTCTTTATACTACTTTATACTATTTTATACTATTTATACTAGTTTCCCTTGGTAGATCTTTAATCACTGCCCGCCCCATATAGTATATTTTGTTTACATATAATAAAATACTTTAGCAGGCTAAATTCAGGGTAGGGTAAGTAAAACAGACTCTTTTTAATACATCTTTTGTATAAACAATTACACATCTTTTTAAAATTGACTTTGGGAGTGGTAGAAAAAAATATGAACAAGCAGTGTGGTCTAGAGAAAATAAAATTTTAAGGCAAGTCTATATCTTACTTGCAGATCTCATTGCTTTAGATGCTAAAATATTTAATCTCTTTTACAATTAGTTTCCAATTCTGTGAGACAGGACTAGTAATATCTATCATGCAGATGTGTTGTATTAAACATGATAAACAACAAATCTGGTAGACAGTAAGTACTAAACAATTTACTATTTGCATCATCAATATTATTATTGTTTCTATTACTTTAAAATTGTTTCTATTACATGTACTATATATGGTAAATTAGCCTTTAAATAAACTCTATAGTTTTAATAAAAATAAAACGTTATGAACAAATGTGACAAACATTTTTTTTTGAGATAGGGTCTCACTATGTAGTCTGGCTAGCCTGGAACTCACTACATAGCTCTGGCTGGCCTGGAACTCACAGTGATTCTCCCACCTCAGCCTCCAAAGTGTTGGGATTATAGGTACACACCACTATTCCTGGCCCTGTAACAAACATTTAAGATTAGTTTTTTGTTTGTTTGTTTGTTTGTTTGGTACCGGGGATCAAACTTGGGACCTTGCACTTTTGAGGCAGGCACCGAAACCACTGAGCTAAATCCCCGGCCCTTAAATTGGTTTTAATTCTGGAAATCAGTATTTTTATTTTGACTAAAATCTATTTAAGTTTGGGTATAACTCATAAAATTTTTACATGTGTTGGGGCTCAGAGCACAGTAGGGTAGCGTGGCATACTGAGGACTGAACTGAAGGGTAATGGAAGGGTCTCAGAACCAGTCTTTCTGACCTTCTGCCTTCACAACTTTCACACTTCTTTCTCACCCAATCCGAGTCACAGAAACCAGAATTTCTCTTCAACCTAGCAGATCACTGAAACTAGAACTCTTCACTTCCTAGAAAGCCCTCCCTCCCTTCTTTCACCTTGAAGACCCTCATTTCAGAGGTGCTGCCCCATCCTATGGGAAAAAAATCTACACAGGAAGACCAAGAAGAACCCAAGTACACAGGCCTTTCTTGGGCTTTTCTCTCAGTCTATCACAATTAGACCATATCAATTTTTCAATCATAATTCGACACAGCTGTTCATTCTTTGCAGAACCTAAGCATAAAAATGAACAGTTCTTCCTAGGTCTTCATTTCTGAAGCCTCACACGTCACATAAAACTTTAAATGAATTTATTACAGTTTTCTCTTGTTAACCTGTCTTTTGTTATAGGAGTGTTGGCTGTGACTCTTATAATGGGTAACAAAAGCCATCACACCTTTCTGCCCCTATATATACCAACAGGAAAAAGCTTGCAGTATTAAAGTCTATTAACTGCCTAATACAAATCTATGTCCATACTTAGGAACTGGTCAAAATTATTTGTGTTTAAAATGGAAGACAGATAACAAAGCAAAGATATTACTTCTAAAGACTCTGAAAAGGGAAAACTCAAAGCACCTATTAAAGTGTTATTCAAGGTATACTCAAAAATTGCTGAACTGATTTTAAGAATGAAAGTCTGGGGAACTGTTAAAGGCATTCAGTTTGTGTGTTCCAAATCAGCTCAAGTACATACTTTCTTTTCAGTACTGAACTTTTAAAATAGCTTATCAAAGAAATGGCTCTTTTCAAAACTGAAACGGAACACCTGGCATTGTGAAGTGTGTGTGTGTGTGTGTGTGTGTATTAATTTGATGTCTGCCATAAAAATGTACCACGGAGTGGGGAGCTTAACAAAAACCTATTTTCTTATATTTTTAAAGTCTAAAATCCAGGAACAAGGTGTCAGCAAGCTTCATTCCTTCTGAGGCCTCTCTCCTTGCCTTGTAAACAGCCAGCTTTTCCTGTGTCACATGGTCTTCTGTCTGTTTGTGTGTCCTAATTTCATTTTCTTGTAACAATACCAGCATACTGAATTAGGGCCTTCCCTAATAACCTTATTTTAATTTAAGTACCTCTTTAAAGGCTCTCTCTAAATAGAATTCTGAGATTTAGGAGATTAGGACTTATAAGATTCAGGGGGACTTAATTCAGGAAGTGACAGTGTGAAATGTTAGTACATTATTTTTTTTAAAAACTGCTTCTATGTTTCATTACTAATATATGCAAATATAACTCTCATTACTATCTTTTACATTCATTTTGAATGAGTTTCATGTACATCCTTTTAAAATAAAAAAAAACAAAACTTAGGCTGGGGTATGGCTCATTGGTAGAATGTTTGCTGGCATGTGGGAGGTCCAAGGTTCCCCAGCATCACAAAAATAAATGAATAATAAAATAATGAAATCCAACCATAACTAGTTAAACTGTAACTGATACAACTTCACTAGATTAATATAAAATACAGCAACAAATTAGTGTGCTAATGTGACATATAGTTCAATGAAAATAATTCCTATTGGCTTTCTAGGCCCTAAAGTGGATTCGTGTAACCATTATAGTATTAGTCATTTATGGTGGTTAGAAGGAAATAATAGATTTCATTATGGTTTCTACTGTAGGGCAATAAAGAGTAACATATTAATGTATATGTACAAATAAAAAGCATTTAATATCTGGTAAACAAAATTATTTTTGAAACAAAGATAAGTTAATATAAACTATATGATATCCTACTTGATAGGAGATTTTTCAATTATTCATTATACCCTAAGATAAATGTAACTGAGAATTTTTTGTTCTTTATGTGATTATGTTAACCAGCTATGTGTCATGCAGTAATCCTGAGATGACAGCCTTTGTTACCTGACCATATGGCAGGTGTTAGAACTATTCAGGGAATCACATCAACTGTAATAAATTACTACATGTTCTATAAGTCAGTTCACAGCTGCAAGGAATATAAGGATGTATATTAATTTTTTGTTCATATATTTGTGAATTTCTAGCTTTCTATAAGTATTAAAGAGTTATTTAAAAAACAAAATGAATCCAGTGTGGTCAAATGACAGTTACAAAAATAAAGACTATTTTATGATAATTTAAAAAAACATTAATACAATTGACTCAACTTCATTGAACTTAAAAACAGCATATTTATATATAAAAGTATGAATTAAGTATAAAATTATAAAGATAAATGTTAACATTTTAAATGTATTTACTATTAATATATATTTACTATATATTTTACTATTAATGATACACACATTTTATTGTGACTACAAGGCTGATATGGGTGGTGTTATTAAAAGAAAACTATATTAAATATATAGTGTAAACTTTAATATAAAATGAGATGAGTCATATGTATTTTCAAGTTTAAAATTATACACATTTTACCAGTAAAATTAGTATGTTTGCTGTCATAGAGCTATACCATGCTCAGGTTTTTAGCTCAAATATATGTAAATATGGATGTTTGTTATCATATAAAATAGTCTCACCATGAACCATTCTCAATTTAAACTGCTCAGTTATAACTAATAAGAATATATAGTCTAAACTTTATTAACTTCTGTTGCTTTGATTCTTTCCATTTCATCTTTGACAATATTTTTAATCTATGTCAATGGGAGCACAAGTATTTACACATTTATTTTACTAACATTGATTTTTTTTACCCTATTTTGGCAAGCCAATGATTTTGAATTATGAATTTAAATTAAGGATTCACACAAGGTTTAAGTTTATGAGCACATATGAGCACTCATTTTAAAATATAATCCTTTATGTTAAAATTCAGATTTAACTTGTTAGGCTCAATATCGTAAAGATTACACTACCTTCTGTAAGGTCTGCTCCGACATTTCTTTCCCATTCTTCTCTGAAGTACTCTTCCTGACCCCATCATCTTCACGGCATCTAAAGAGTTGTTCTGGAAGGGAATAAATTATATATCATGGTACCTGATATACTGCTGAAACACTGTCCTGTCATTTTAAGAAACAGATTACTATGGTTTTTCAATTGTAAATAATCTACTCTATTTTCTTGCCAAATGAGGAACCAAACAGTGACCTTTTCCAAGATTTTAAGTCATATAATTGTGTATCTTTGTAGTGTCACATTTTTTCTACAGTATTAAGATTTTCAAAAGTACAATAGGTATGTGGGTTAACAATGCTGTACTTTCATTCCCATTTTCATTCTTTTGTAGACTATTCCCTCTTTGCCTTAAAAGCAGAATTCTTTGCCTTTTTATCTACACAGTCACTACTAGTTTTGTTCTCTGGATCTTGTTCCCTGCCAGGAGGATCACAGTGACTGCTGAACAAAGCAAACAGTAACAGAATTAGGGTGGACTGAAAGTCTTAACACCCCCTACTAAAACCTTTTGTTCAAGTGAAAGATCATGCACTGGGCAGGGTAACCTGTAAAAATCACAATTCTAGAAAAACTGTTAACTTCATAACAAATAGAAATCTAGGTATATGGGTGAAGTTGTCTCTACAAATCATTCCAAAACTGGCTATGCAACTTACTTTCAAAACCTTTCCAACCAAGTAAAAATCTGCAAGTAACTTAACAACTTTAAAGGAAAAAAGTAATCATAAAATATCTTCTAATATTAAAATTAAAATTCATCAAAACCTAAAACTCTTTTTCTTATCAGATAAATTAGTGACAAATTTAATGTTTTCTTACTGAATCATTTTGGAAACATAACATTTAAAAATGGGGGCAAAAACAATACATAAAGCTGAAAGGATACATCTCTATGTTAGACTGAGATGATTTGACTTTCAAGTATGCTTGACTGCTGTAGGTCAGTGTAAAACTTTGATTTATCAACAAAGGAAAAGGAAAATAATATTATTCTCTGTAGAGTAGAAATCCTCTTGGTATAAACAGTAACTAACAAGTTTGTTAGAGTGAATTAGGCATTTCTTTTGTCTTTGAAACATGACACACCCAATTAAAACTTCTGTACTCATGAAATAAATAGAACACTATCCTAGGGATAATAAAAGCTAGAATAGGTAAGATTTTCAACTTAGGGAATAAGTACCTTTACCTTGATAATAATCTATCAGTTCCCAAGTTTCTTTTTCTAATCCCCTAACACCATGGTGCTGCATTCATTTACAAGGCTCTTTCAGCAGTACAGAAATAATATGCAAATGTGATTCATCTGTGCTAGTCATTTAAATATCTGCTACCGTTGTGAAACAGTTACTATTAAAAATAAGATAACAGTCCTATGTTCAAAAAGCATGGATGTCTAAAAATATCTAATAAACAATAATACCTAATAAACACTAAAGATTAATTTTAAATTACTGTCTTTGCAGTTGTTTTAGTCCTGGATGTGTGCAAGGCCCACTGATGGACTGGCTAACTATGTTCATCTGTGGCTATTTGCTGAAAAGTTTGTTTCTCACCTTCTTAGATTTTATAAAGAATATCCAAGCAGTTATGCCCAGGGCGTGATAAGGAACAAAGACCCACTCTCTATCTCTTCGTTTTTACTCTTTGAGATCTCAGAATTGAATTTGGGAAATGAACCAAGAGGAACCATTTAGAAATGTATAATTCTGTTCTTTTAGTGACCAAGTATTTTACTTTATAGAGATATACTGTCAATACTTCAGGGTATCTTTTAATGTTTTGTTTTGGAGACAGGGTCTCGCTATGTAGCTCAGTCTGGCCTTGAAATCACTAAGTAGCCCAGGCAGACCTGAAATTTGCAGTGATCTTCCTGCCTCAGCCTCCCAAGTTATGGGATTATAGGTGTGCTCTAATACACTTGACTATATTTAGTTTTAAATGCTTTAATTTTTAATACTACAAAAATGCATTTTGCTTTATATTCTTTCTAGGAGTTTCTCCTCCATTTTTCCTTTTTATCTTTATTTATTCATAAATGTTTAAACTTACTCAATTTCCTATATTTTTTAACCCTATTGGCTACTGTAGAGGCAAAAGGAATTCTTCCTTCTCCCTCTGAAGGCTCAAAACTTTAAGGCTGCTGAAATAAACTGACAATAGACAGATTAACAGGAAAGAATGTACACTGATTAATATGCACATGTGCAAAATAAATAGGACACACATGTGTAAATACTGAATAGTTTCTCTGGTGTGAGAAACTGAAAGTGTAACTAAGGATTAAATGTATAATAGGTAATGTGAAATAGGAAGAAAAGGGGCAAAGGGGAAGGAAGTGGGAGGGCTAGGGGAAAGGATAGAAGGGAATGGGATTAATATGAGAAAATGGAAAAATAGGAAGAAAATCTTTGTAAATAGGGAGGACTGAAGGGGTTGAAGGGAGGGCTGGGCAAGGGTGAAAAATAAGAACCAAGAGGGACTTTGTAAAGGTGCAAATTTTCAATGATGAATGTCATTATATTGTATACCTAAAATGTACCATTGATTAGAATGAATAATCGATAATGTAAAATAGGAAGAAAAGGTCCAAAGGGGTAGGGGTAGTGGGAGGGGCAGGGGAAAGGAAAGGAGCGAAAGGAAAAAATGATGAGAAATGGAAAAAATGGAAATAAAGTCTTTGTAAATAGGGAAGGGTGGAGGGCATGAAGGGAGGGCTAGGAATGGGGAAAAAATAAGAACCAAGATGCATTATGTAAAGGTACAAGTTCTCAATGAGAAATCTAATTGTGTTGTATACCTACAATGTACCAATAAAAGAATTTAATACAAAAAAAAATATGCACATGTGCACTGGAGCCATACAAAATATGAAAACTAAAAAATGGGCCAGATAATTAAAACTTCAATACCTCCTCACAGGGTAAAAGGAAACAGAAGGAGGAGCTGTAGGCAGTAAGTGATTTTTAGGTGAACTGGGCCTGAACAAGAGACCTTAGCCTGGGACAAAGGTGAAAGATACCCCTCCATTACAACAAAGATTGTTTTACCATGCAGGTGGTCTCCCAGGTGTCAGTCTTCAAAAGAACACATGATACCTTTAGTGTAAAAAGATAGACACCTTTTAGTCTTCTTTTCTATGAGTTAATCTTCCATGGTTAATGAGATTTTAGGAAGGGAGCCCCGAGACAATTACACCTGGTTTCTTAAAAAATATCCCTTCACTCAAATAAGCAAACTTCAGAGACAGCCTCTACCTGAGCTTGGAAGCTGGAAACCAGGGAAGGTTGGAGAAACCTTGACTCTACACAGCTCCTCAAGCCTTGCAATTTCCCTTAGTTCAAAGTGGGTAGCACATCAAAACATACTTTAAGGGTGCTGCTTCCTGAGCCCCAAAATTACATGTAATAATTAATCTAGCTTCTCCAGCTTTTTACTGCTTAGGTTTCCTTTTAGATGATTTCTCTTTTAAATAATATTAACACACTATTTTGAAAAATTTATCTTTTTTCCTGACCTTATATGATGCTCCCCATACAAACTTCTTTAAAATCTATTTGTTGGCTGGGGACTTAGCTCAGTGGTTCCGTCACCTGCCTTGCAAGCACAAGGTCCCAAGTTCGATGCCCGGTATCAAAAAAAAGGAAGTCTGTTTGTCAAATCATTTTGTGAGATTAAGAAAAGAGAACAGGTGTCATTGTGTACATGGGCAATTTCTTTTTAAAAATACTGCTACTTTTATGTCACTTTCAGAAAAAACAATAGCCACAGTGTGCAGGTTTTATTTGTGATTATATAGAGAGATATATTTGATATTCGTCTCCAATTCTTGACACAGAGCTTCTAAAACTCTTGGAATTTTCTGGGTAACATGAGGTTTTTTTGTTATTCATGAGAGCTCTTTTCAAATATACCAGAATTTATACTAATAACATGTTACTTGGTGGGCACATATACATATACAGCTTCAGAACGGAAACTGGTTGCCAGAGGCACTCGCTTTTGACTTTAAGAGTTGAAACATTCAGTTGCGTTTCTCCCATACCTGGCTCTACACATCTCTTCTCTTTAGCTGTTTTTGAGGTGAACCCTGTATAATAAACTGGTAGTAGTAAATAAAGTCCTTTGTAGAGGCATTAAAGCAAACTACCAAATCTGCCTGCAGAAGTGGTTAACCCCAATTTATAGGTGATTGATAAGAAATAATGATGGACGTGTCAAAGGCATCTGAAGTGGGGGCACATTTTTAGAACTGAAACCTTTAGCTGTGCACCAGTTCCAAATATTCAGAATACTAATACTAAAATGACTATAGGACACCCATTTAGTGTCCAGAGCAGTGGTAGTGAACCTGTGGCACATGTGCCACAGCTGGCTGTTTATTATCATTGAAAGCTCTAAAAGGTTTGCCATCACTGGTCTAGAAAATCAAAGAACAGTTTGTTAGGTAGAGGAAAAGACCCCAACTAGTGTTAGAGGTGTGAATAAAAACAACTTGTAGTACTGTTTCAGATAAATGAACTAGGAATAATGCAATAATTAGTAAGGCCTGCCATGAAAAAAATTATGAGGGGTGTGTGTGTGTGTCTGTGTGTGTCTGTGTGTGTGTGTGTGTGTGTTTTATTAGGGATTGAACACAGGGCCTTTGCACTAAGCTACATCCTTAGCCCTTTCAAAACATTTTTTTTTTGAGACAAGGTCTTGCTAAGTTGCCCAGGCAGGGCTCAAATTTGTGAACTTTCTACCTTAGTTTCTCAGAATACTGGATTATAGGTATGCAGCATTTTAAAAAAATTTTTTGTGTTAGACATTGTCTCCTTGGGCAAGATAAAAGTGAATCAGTCAACTGCAAATGGAACCCATATCCTATCTCCTCTGAAAAATGACTACTAGTCAATGAAAAAGCAAGAGGTAAGTTCTGCTTCTGGTAGATAGGATAGAGTATCAGTTATCCCATGTGACTATTCATCTGAATACGACTGTTATACTTGGAACATCTTCAATGAGACTCAACCTATCCTTTTTTGACTTTACCTAGAAAGAAGTACT